CATAATCCTAACAAGTAGCACCGTGTACTAATCGTAACTGTTAAGTGTTTCTGCAAGCATCTCTTTTGGTTCTTAGTTCATGTATCACTGTTAGAAAAGCTTTATTATTCCCATATTGTAATAGAGGTAATTAGACACTATGAAGAATAAAGGAAAATTTGTTAACAAGTAAATTGGCAAATAAAAAGGCTAAAAACTGGTATTGGAAACACAAATGAGCTCAACGATAATGGACAAGTTTCAGCAGAGTTGCTAGACTAAGAAATATTAGGAGGAAGGAGGAGACCATTGAGATTTGGGAAAGTTAGCCCCTGAAAGTCTTATGAATAGGAGCAGAACATTGTCTGAATGAATGTGAAAGGTGACCCCTCAGGTTGGAATGCGCTCAAAATATAACTAGGCGAGTTTCATATGCTGTTGTGAAACCATTCAAATTGGGAAGAAATAGCTGCAAGTATCCATTAGCAATTGGAAAGTGGCATGAAGGAGGTATGAATCTAGGAACTGTGCACATCATCAAAAGTGAAATGGGACACATAAAGAGAACTAGCCGGGGCTGTTATTAGTGCAGTGAGATGGACACCTTCTGCCATTTTGAACTGGTCAATTGTCTGGCTGACTCTGCCAGGACTGACAAATTCAAGGTGGATGGGGCCACATTCATCAAAAAGGATCTATCAAGAAGTACAATGTTATCTGTGATGAGATAATATTCACACACCTGGAACAAAGACAAGTTAACAACTTTATTGCATGAATTAATGTACCAACTATGAAAACCACGATAAGGAAAAAGTATAGTAACAAACTCTTCAGCGTAAAATTGAGCAAACATGTAATCAAGATGCATTGATAATTTCTGATTACTTTGTGAAAGTCCTAAGGAAATTTCTATAGTGGGAAAATATAGCCTGGGTGATAAATATCATGCTGGAGACCAGGTGATGTAATTTGCAAGACCAATGACTTCTTCATTGAAAACACAATACAGGTGGACCTAGCTAGATGGAATACAGAGGAATGCAATCAGCTACATCTGTGCAAAAAGGAAATGAAAAAGTTTAATTTCATCAGCCCACACAAGGCCAAGATCGACATCAAGTCTTACGCATGTCACTGCTCCAATTAAATCAATTGAAAGAACTTTCCGGTGGTGTATAATCTGCTTCCAATATAAATGGTCAATTTACCTGCTTTTCTCTGAATGTGGCTCCTTGTCTTGCAGTTGAGCCAACAGCCTGCCATAGGCACCTGAAGCTACTCAAGTTATGGAAAGCCTCCAGCCTAACATCTGACTTAGGGACTTGGAAGCTACCTGGACTTGGACTTGGCAGCGCCTATAACTGGATGAGCAATTTTCTTGATATCAATTTCTTTGAATATACACGTATGACAGAATCACTTCTTTTGTAGCTCTAGTATCTGAGCCAACTCCATGGCAGCTAACTACAGCAACAACAAAAATGGTGCTGTCCTTTAATGTTAACGTCTACTATGTGCGTGTGATGAACACTTTTCATATTGGCCCTTAACTCTATTTTTCTCGGAAGGTTGATGGGTTTTGTTGGGAAATTTTGCATAGCATAGAAACATCCAAAAATAGATATGTCATCTTGTAGTAGAACTAATGGGATATGTGTGTGTGTGCATATATCAAAATGTATATCATGGGGCTTCAAATCATCAAAGAATCCTCTTACATTTTAATCAGTTTTTCACGAACTTTCTGAAACTCTGTCATGTGTTTATATATCTATTTCTATATACTTAAGACAGGAGACTTGTAGTTGAACAAATGTTTCACATGGAAGGCGAACACCATTAGTCACCACAAAAATACAGATTAAAATCAGAAATAGATATGATTAAAGAAGTACACAATATTTTACAGGTTAAAGTGATAAAAGCCAGGTGTGTGAAATTTTAACATAATGCTAGCCACCAGAGTGCTCAAATATTGCTGGTGGTGGTCTAAAATGTTTCAATCATCCCTTACAAAAAAACATTTTTTTTTTTATAAACCCAACTTATACCACTCCAGCTTCGTAGACTATAATGCCTACCACTCAGATAAATACCACGAAAAAGAGAACCAGTTGGGCTGCATTAACCTTATGACCAGTGAGAACAAGCTCTGCTTTGACCTGATGTCTCAGAGGTTGAGTGATGATGATATGAACTACCTTGATGAAGGCCTACTGGGATACCCTGACAGGAAAGGACAGCCATTCCTAAGGAAGGTGGTGGCCCAGTTTCTGACACACTACTGCAAGGCACCTACTCCCCTCGATCCAGAAAATGTGGTGGTTCTAAACGGCTGTTCCCCTATCTTCTCTGCACTGGCCATGGTTCTGTGTGATGTTGGGGAGGCCTTTCTGATCCCTACGCCCTTCTACAGTGGCTTCGCCTTCAGCTCCCATGTGCACTCACAGATTGAACTGGTAGCCTTCTCCCTGGACAGTCAGATCACTCATAAGAACACGGAACCCTTCCAGCTGACCGTGGCCAAGTTGGAGCAAGCCCTGCAGGACGCCAAGCTGAAGGGGAAAAAGGTCAGAGGTCTTGTGCTAACCAATCCCCAGAATCCTCTCGGTGACATCTACTCCCAAGACTCACTGAAGACATACCTGGAATTTGCCAAGAGGCACAACCTACATGTGATTATAGATGAGATATACATGCTCTCTGTGTTCGATGATGCCACCACATTCCACAGTGTCCTGAGCTTGAGGAGTTTGCCTGACCCCAGCAGGACTCATGTGATCTGGGGTACCAGTAAGGATTTCGGCATCTGTGGCTTCCGCTTTGGCTCGCTCTACTCCCACAACAAGGAAGTGGTCGCTGCCTTGGTATCCTTGGGCTACCTCCACAGCCTGTCGGACCTCACGCAGTACAAACTGTACAGGCTACTCCATAACAGAGAGTGGATTGACAACGTGTACCATCCCACTAATTGCTCGCAGCTCCGGGATGCTCACACATTTGTCACAGATGAGCTGAAGGCCTTGGACGTCCCTTTTCTCAATCGTTGCTCTGGTCTCTATGTCTGGATCAACTTGAAAAAGTACCTGCACCGTGTACATTTGAAGAAGAACAAATTCTCCATCGCCACTTTGTAAGAAACAAGGTATTGCTGTCCCCTGGCCAGTCCTTCATGTGCAGAGAACCAGGCTGGCTCAGGCTTGTGTTTGCAAATAAGCACCCTCGACTGGAAACGGCCATGCATCGGTTCCGGGCAAGTCTGAAAGAAGTGAAGGAGTAGTTGATGGTAGTGTTATTGAAAGCTGTGGTGCAGGAAGTAGCTGTGCCTGCCCCCTCCAGCTAGCCGGGAGTTCAGCTCGTCCAGAGAGCTGAAAGGTTGAACTGATGCTGAGATGAACCGAGCCAAGCCGCTATACCTTCTGGAATCTCTCTTTTAAGTCTTTGCTAATGATTGCGGGTGGGGGGAGAATGGGTGTTTTTTTTTTAGCTGAGGTTGGAAGGTCTACAAGGGAATGCTGGGTCCTGATGTAGAAGGGTTTTATGGTCTTTTATCAACATGTAATAAACTTCATATATTCTCAAAAAATTTTCTAAATACCAGCTCTGTGATTCTATTCCTAAGAATAAACCCAAATTATTATTTATATCCATCATTACACTTGTGTAAGAATATGAAAATCAATTTATATCCCAATAGTCCAAAACTGAAAGGAAAGAAAATATAACATCCACTACTGGAGAGTTTAATGGAACACAGCTCAACAGAAAAAGCAATCCCGTCACTTATACTGAAACCAACAAGGAGGAATCTCAGTCAAACTACAGTATATCGAATGAAAGAAACCAGATGCAGACATGTACTTACCGAAGAGTATAATTTTCTTCTTACAAATAGTAGGTAAAATGAATCTATAATGGAAGCTGAAGCGGTGGTTGTTTATGGTGGTGGATGTCATTGATTTGAATGGCCATCAAGATATGAGTGTATTTGGTACTTTGATCTAGTTAATGCTGCCATTAAGCTTTTTATAAATATGTAAAACATTATCAGGTGTACATTCACTATTTATAAATTCCATTGTATATATCTATAAATTTTATCTCCATAAAATATTAAAATTCAAGCCCATATGAGTATTTATTTTATTTTTATTTTTTAACAGTTTTATTGACAAGTAAATAACAAATCATACAATTCAATAGTTTAAACATGTAAAAAGAGTTGTGCAATCATTACTACCATCAATTTTAGAATATTTTCTTCTTTCTTATATTCATATGAAAACTTCAATCTTTTCATTATTTATCATGATGTTACCTATGGGTCCAGGTGTAAGGATTTTGGTCTTCTTTACAAGCAAGGAGTTGTAATCCTGAAGGCTGCCATCCTTGATCATCATCAGCAAGTGCTTCAACTCCTCCTTTGCAGAAAGCAAGGTTGAGTTATCTGCATATCGGAGGATGTTAACAAGCATTCCTCCCATCCGTATGCCACATTGTTCTTCATATAGTCCAGCTTCTCTTATTATTTGCTGAACATACAGATTGAATAAGTATTGTGAGAGGATGCAACCCTGCCCCCAACTCTCCTGATTTTCAACTGTGCAGTATTCCCTTGTTCATGATGCACTGGTACCTATTGATCCATGCACAGGTTATACATGAGCACAATGACGTTTTCTGGAATTCCCATCCTTCTCAGGACTATCCATGGTTTGTTGTGACCCCATTGTTGAAGGCTTCACAGAGTCAATGGAACACAAATAATCATCTGGATGAGGCTGGGCTTCCAGTAAACAAATCATGCAGGTGGAGAGTGGAGGTTGGTCTGACCTATGGATTAAGGCAAAGTGGTGGAATTGGATTTTCCTTCCCCTTCGGATGGCTAAAGCAGGTCAGAAATGGCCAAACAATTTACTCAGTTCATTTCTGGAAAAGTTATGGGAGGTAAAACTTGATTCTTCAATGCTATCTTTGGATATTTCTACCTGAAAAAGTGCAAAACACTATTATGGATATTAAGTTGAAGCTCAGGGAAGAAAGTGCCTTTTGAACTGTGCTGAGACAAAATCTTGCTGCTTAGACAAAAAGGTTGATTGGTTGGCAGGTCCTTGTTGGATCTTACCTGGGGCCAAGCCTATATGTATATTAATCAGATAATCTAGAAAAGAAAGGATTTATATTTAGTATTTATGAAAGAATTGTGTTTAGGATCTGTTTTTTTTCCTACTTATAGTTATTGATAAATTGTGATACAAATAAATATTGGAATGAATGTTTAGAGATGTGTGTAAGCTTTCCCTCCTTCAGCCTTGAATCTGTTAAAATTGATCTTAGGAATTATCGGAGGAAAGGGCTATTAGGCATAGGCAAGATTATATTATTGTCTTTGTTTAATGATAATATATGGTTAAAGAGTTGTGTACAGGTGTCAGATTGACAAGAGGTGGTCTGTGGTACTTATATTTTATGGCGATTTTCACTTGTGTGTCAAATAGATCAGAGCTTAATGATGCCTCCGGGGAGGTGTTGCCTTTTAATAGGAGACAATGAGGGAAATCCCCCCTCCTCCTCTGTTAAGCTGACTCCTGGCTAGCTGGGACTCTGTGCCCACCATGAGGACAGGCTACATGGTCCCCCAAACCCTGAGAGTTGCTGGAACTTTGCCATGTTTCCACTAACCTCAGATCCATGTGACTCTGTACCCACCAGCCAGTCATCTCTCTGCACCAGCTTCTGCTTTCTGAGACATTAGACTGCAGCTACTTTAGACTGAAGAGGATTCTGGCTAGCATTGGGCCCATGGACTTACATTGCGTTGGGATGCTTGATATAAAGATTGATATAAAGCCTCTCTCTCTCTCTCTCTCACACACACATTTATTTATTTATGAGTATCACTAGTTTTTGTTTCTCTAGAAACCTCGGCTAGATACAACTTCTTTTTGGTATTGTTTGCTTTCAGGCAGGGTCCATGTGATGTCAACAGTGATATCCCTTGTTATGTGTCCTCTTTTGAATTTGGCTTGGACCTCTGGCAGCTTCCTGCAAGTATATTGCTATAACAGCTGTTGGATGATAATCAGCAAAATGGTACTTTCATGTAAAAACAATCATATTGTTCCATAATCTGTGCATTCTTTTGGGGGACCTTTCTTTGGAATTCGTACAACTACGGATCTCTTCCAGTTGGTTGGCCAAATAGCTGTCTTCCAAATTTTCTGGCATACATTAGTGTTTCTCCAGTGCTTCGTCAACTTGTTGAAACATTTCAATTGATATTGCATCAGTTCCTGGGAACTTGTTTTTGGCTAATGCTTTTAGTGCAGCTTGGACTTCTTCCTTCAGCATCATTGGTTGAATGTCATCTTGTCAAATGCTGTCTTTTCATATGGTTGAATGTCAACAACTGCTTCTGTGGTATACACAATAAAAAATTCCAGTCTGGAAAGCACTTAGGTTCATTGCTGCTATGAAACAATTAAACATATCTTGAGGAAAACCAAAAAGATGGTTTTATTTTATGTTTGCTTTCTTTTATATTTCTTATTTTTCCCCCCACTTATATTTCAATGAGACTACAATTATAACCAACATTAAAGGATAAGAGCACATGAATGACATTATTTAATTCATGTTCATCATGATTAAAATGAGAGAAACCCCCTCATAGGAATCATTCATAAAATTAATTTTTCCAATCAGGCTTTTATTTAGTTATTTCTCACAGACTCCTGTAAACAAAAGGTAAAAAATAAAACAAAACATATGAAACTAAAACAACCCATTAAATATAATGAATGTTCCTCAGTTATTTTATCAAAGTTCAAGCAATTATTATTACTGATTTGGGGGACTAAGGAAAATAGAAACAGAAATTGAGTAACAACTATGAGGACAAAAACGTTTTTCAGAATATACACAGAGAAAACAGACATATAAATATCCATACATTATGATGGAAATTGAACCAACATCTTCAACAAGTCCAAGGAAAGAAACTACAACTGTATAACAATCTGCCTGAAGCAGTCATGACTTATGAGGTGGTACCCACCCCAAATCCCGGAATTGTGCTGGGCAGAGCAGAGCTTTCATAGTACTCATTTTCCCACTAGGTGACCATCAAGGGCGTTGCCTGGGAAGGTTGTCTCTGGTCACAGCACATTTTTTAGTCAAAGTAGTTTCCCTCACATCGTGTTTTTTTTGCGGGTGTGATGGCCAATTTCAGAGAACAGCATGTGACTGTGAAATTTTGTTTCTAGCTCAGGAAAAATGCTGCAGAAACAGTTGTGATATTGAACAAAGCTTACTAGGACAGCGCTATGGGGAAAACTCAAGTGTATGAGTGGTTTCCCCTTTCTAAACAGATGAAATGTTGATTTATGACAAACCTCTTTCTGGAGGTCTATCAACTTTCTCCATGGTTGAAAATGTCAATGTTTAGTGCATTGAGAGTTCATTCCACCAGGTCAAACTGTTAATTAAGCTTTCTATTTAGAGGTTCTGAAAAGATTGAGTAACAATGTGGGACCAAAAAAAAGCTTGATTGGTGGCAGATGGGGGACTGGTTTTGCCACCACGACAAGGCACCTGCTCATGCAGCCAGCTTAGTGAGCCACTTTTTGACAAAAAATACTCCCAAACCAGCATAGCTCTCTTGCCCCACTTGCCTTATTCACCTGACCCCTCTCTATGAGAATTCTTTTAGTTTCCACTAATGAATAGGGTCATGAAAGGACAGGTTTCATGAAATTTTGATGATTTGAAGACTTAGATGAGGTGAAGAAAAAAAGACGAGGGAGAGCCTGTCACCCATCCAAACAGATGAGTTTGAGAAGTTTCTAAGAATGGAACGCATTTGTCAAATGTATTAAGTGTAAAGGAGAATACTTTGAAGGTGATAAGATTGTTTTTTTTAAAAATTTAAATATATAGCTTTGACATTTTTATTTCAAATTTTGGGGGGTAAACACTCATATTCTATTTACTGGGTGTGCTGGAGAGGAATGTGTATTGTATTTTTGTTGGGAGAAATGCTCTTTATGGAGGTTGAGCTGGGTCATTGTGCTGTTTAGTTATTCTTTTACTTATTTAATACATTTTTCTGATTAAATGTTGTGTTAGACAGGCTTCTCTAGAGAAACAAAACCAGCTCGCTTATGATTTTATATAGATAGATAGATGGATAACACAGATATAGATAAAGATATAGGTGTAGATATAGATATAGAAAGGTAACACAAAGAAATAAACAGCTAGTTAGTCCATAGAGCAGTACAAATGGCTCAGTTCAACTCACTTCTGTAAGACAGTTAATAGACTGGCAGTCCTTCAACTTAC